GAGCTATATCTAAAAAAAAATCAAAGAATAACTGAAGCCAGTAGATATATGAGTTCTATTATTTTATCCGAGATAGTCTGATTAGAATGTGAGTGTCTTTACAGGCTAAACAAAGATCATATTAACTTGGAGCAGAAGAGCAGAAATGATATAAATTATTTCATTAAAAGAGCCATAATTATTGGTGGTTATGGATTACATTACCCAACAGTTGTTATTGAATTGCAGTCCTCAGCCTTCTGAGGCTTATCGTGATTTTGTGTTTTTCCCTTTTTTTCGGCTGATTGAATTTAGGCCCTCTCTCTCTGTCTCTCCCCTCTTACAGAGCGCCTTCAACTCAGCAGCTTTTTCAAATTTGGGGCTTGCAACACTCAGCCAAAAGCCGCAAATTACCCCCCTCTAGCAGCAGCGAATTAGGAACAATTTTGTGTTAGCTATAAAAGAAAAAAAAGAAAAAGAGGAGCGAGACGGAGAGAGAAGGAGAGAAGTGAGGGGAAAATATAGCTTACACCAGGGACCACCAACGGAGGCAGGCATGGGATGAACGGCTCGCCGGCCTACGGTTTGGGTGGCAGGGCGGTGCTGCGAAAAACAGCCCCAGTGATCTTCAGAGCAATCAATCCCGTCGTATCGCATCCACGCAGAGCGGCATAACACCCATTACCAGACACAAAGGCCCGAATTAGTGGATTTATATCGCTGTTACAGGATGTTTGCAGGCCTGTGAATTTGGCTTTACAGTTCCCCGAGCACACAGCGTTGACTCTGGGGGCACCTTACGCTGTAACACACTCCGGTGACACCGAAAAGGGGGCAGAGATTGCTATAAGGGGACAATTTACCGCCTGGAATTTTCATTCCGTCCTCTGAGGAGGGTCTGATTTTTGATTCCCCCCCCCCCCCCTTACGCTATGCGGTTGGTCCTTCACCCGGGGCATTAATATAGAAAGGGGGCCTTATTCTTGTTTCTTACAAAGCGTGAGGTTTGGCATGCCCACTTAATCTGCTTCCCCCCCTGAGCCAATCCATGTTTTTCCCATTCTGGCACCTATTTCGATTCCCTTTTAAAATCCATTTCCAAGTTGTAATATGCCACTGCGGACTTTATGGAAGGGGGGGAGAAAAACCCAAACGTAATGGGGGAGAGAGGTAAAGCGAGAAAGTGTGGACAGAGACGGAGAGGTATGGGGCTTGGGAGCTGGGTTTCCAGCCATTAACCGGCTGGTTTGTTCTCTTCGGGGACGGCAGACCACTTTGTCTTCCTCTGAGATCAGACGGAGTGGTCAGGCCGCGGCCAGTTTGGGGTTACTTACTCTCATTAGGCCCCCCGTACGAACGGCCAGGGCCCTGGACCGCACAACGGTAACAAGAGCCTGGCCGGTTTCAAACTGACCCCTCCCCGACACGTACAGGCCCAGAAGCTAATTGTGTTTCCTGCTCTCCTTTTGATTAAATGACATTGAGTTTTAAGTCTTTGTTTGTACGGCTAATGGCTCTCATTTAGTGCAATAAGTGGTTTGGGGGCTGCTGTGGGTGACATCACGCAGTCGCTTTCTTTGATCTGCTGTGAGAGGAAAGTGGTTCTTTTTTTCTGACCGGAGGACTTCTACCTGAATGCCACACATTCTGAGGCCCAGAAAAGAGTCTCGGGGGGGAGGATGTGGCGCTAATGCCAGCCTCCGTGGGCAGGGCGAGGGCATGAGGTCTCCAGCTGGAGAGCAGAAAAAAAAAGGCCCCGCTTTGATGGTTTGTGGGTAAAAAAAAAAAAGAAAAAAAAGAAAGAAGAGAAGGATCTGTGGTCAATAAGCACAGAATTTTCTGTTCTGTTTTTGTGTCATCTACAAATGTATTCATCCGTCATTTATTTTCCAAACCCACTTCCTCCTATTTAGGCTGGCGGGGGGTAGGGGGGTTAGAACCTTTCCCACATGTCGCTGGCCAAATGTCAGGGCACACAGTTGCATCATCGGCATATTTTAAATAATATTGAAATATTCCAAATTTGACCTCAACATTAATGTTCAAGCTTGCATTTTAGCACCGCTTCAATCCAATTTGATGACTTACCCACTGGCCCTCAGCTGAAAACCTTTGTTTTCCAATAAACTCTTTAAAATGTACCATCACAACATTTAGGATTTACACTTTCTTTCATTATGCCAAACAACATGGTCAGTATTTTTTACAGGCACATCTGAGTTGATTTGAGTTGAGTTTAATTCACTGTTCTTGTGCCTGTATGAATACGAAAAAACTTAATTAATGAATGACCAAAGTACTATCATCAGCATTTGCAAAAGTGCTACAGAATTCATTTTCCCCAAGTGATCCACTTCTTGTAAAATCAGGATTTTTATTAGAGCAGAGCAACAGTCTAGAAATCCTATTTCCCATCACAGTTTATGACCTGTTCAGCCATCTGACAGAAAACAAAACAAATATATACCACATTTTATGTGGGTATCCAGTTGGGTCGATGAGCATTTACCCTTTTTTGATAATTGTTTAGAGATTATATCTTAAGAAAAGTCCAATTGATTCATGCTATAAGAACACTGAGTACAAATAGTCCTTCATTTAGACATGTGGACAAATTGCACATTATATGGTGAGACTGAATTAGCCTTTGCCTCTTTCCGTGGAGGTGTTTTCTGTGGCCTAAGTTTTCTCCGCACCGCATGGTGCGGGCTGAAATCACAACTCTCCGTCCATCCAAGTCAGCCAGAAGTTCCTTATACGTCTCGCTTTGGTGCATTTTTTCCACAATCCACTCCAACACTCACAGGCCTCTATCATTTATTTATTTTCATCAACACGTCCTGGAACGGCCTCAACAGTTTTATGACTGAGGAATTTCTTGATAGCACAGCGGAGAAACGGGGATTTCAGGTTCTTTGGCAGTGGCATTGTTTTCTTAAAAACTGTTATGTCTTTTTGATCATAGCCTTGCAGATGCTCCCCCAGGGCCCTTTTGTTTTCACCACTGCGAGAAGAAAACCGAAATCATTCATCCTCCTATTTTTCTGCAGTAAAAAGGATTTTTTATGAACTCCTGCTTAATATGAACTCTTAGCTCTTTATTTTCTCAGTGGTTCTGATGCAATGACTGTGGTAGGTTTTCTGTTTACATCTTTATTTAACAGTAGAAGGAATTCATGTTGTTTATTGCTCACATTCCCAAAATAGACAAAAAGACTATTAACATTAATTGCTGAATTTGTTTTCGTGTTTACAAGCCAGGGGTGCAAAGAATTTGGATTTCCTCAATGTGCAAATCATAGTTTTTAGGGAAAAGGAGAATCTTAGAGGTTTAAGATATTTGCTTTATTTGGAAATTCTGATCACACCAAGTTTAAGTTTAACAAGTAGCCTGAAGCGTGTGCATAAGTCATGGACGTGTTTTTTGTTCCCCTTTCTCTCGCCGCATCATCAGATCATTGACTTTGTTTGTTTTTTCTTCCCTCTACCTTTCCTTTCCCCCGATCCTTTGCTTCTTTTCATCACGGTTTTTATTGTCCCCTCTACCCCCAGCTGCAGATCTTTCTCTCTCTCCCTTCTCCCTCTGTTTTCTCCCACTCGTATAGCGAGCGCGTGGCTGAGGTGTGAGATCATTCTCCTTCTGGGTGGCTTTCCTGCTATATGTCACTGTCATCTGTTGGCACCGCGGCTTGAGGGGGGGTCCCTTTTCCAAAAAAACACGCTCCGTTTCACCACCCGGAGCATAATAAATTCTTGGGCACGAGACCGGAGAGGGGTGTACCAGCAGAGCCCCCGTCTTTTTTACTGGGGCGTCTGGCAGGGGTGAGGAGAGGGGGGGGGGAGATTTATAATTGAATAACTCCCCAAAGCAGGGCAACGGGGGGAACCGGCCCTGCCAGGAAAAGCAAACGCTAAAAGGAGCGAGCGGGGCCCGTGGAAGTCGGCCATTAAAGTGAGAGGATAGAGAAAACCTCAGCGGTGATAGGCCCCAGAAGAGAGGTGTGAGATTTACTTATGATAACTGAAAAACCACAACACGTAAGGCCTCTCTGCTCGCTCACCGCCATCCCAATCTGGAGGCGCACCAAACACAACTGGAAACGCAGAGTGAAAGGTTCGCTTTAGCTGCCACAGTTTGCTCATTTGACGGGGTCTTTTGTCACATATGTCCATCCTAAAGGTCATCTCAGGCCACTTAGGGTGAGCTGGTACCAGATTGTTTGCATTTTTAGAGCTATCTCCCAATTGCTAACAACAAGAACAAAACAAATAAAAACACATATACATACACACACAAGATTGTATTACTTTTAAACCATGTATCTCAACTGTTATATAAAAAAATACTATACTGACATAGCACTGACACCAGTGAGCACATGGTGAAATTAACTCATTGCAGCTCACAGTGGAACATTTTTTTGGGGTCCATGATTTGTATTCTTGGCAACCTTAAACCTTTTTACTTTGAAAAAAAAAAAAGCAGAAAAATACATGAGCAAATCAATTTCAAATGATGCATTTCAAACAACACAGTCGCATTGTTTTTCTTGCCCTGGCTGAACTTTGCGGGGGCTTGTCCCAGAACGCACCGCAGGCCTTCGTCTTTTCCTGTGGAAGGCAGAGGGAGCCCAGGCAGCTGAGTTTATCTGGCCTGTTTGGCTTGGCGTTCGGGATCGGGAGAACGGGGGGAGAGCGTGGCACATGCAGCAGAAGCGTCAGGCCTGGATGGAGCTCCGCCTGAACCCGCTCACTTTTTCCCAGGGTAAAAGCAGCTCCACGTCAGAGATAGGAGACGCAGAACTGAGCGGAAACTGCAGTGTTGCAACATGGCACACTACCGCAGAAAGGCCGTCACATAAATGTACATTCATCCCATGAGTGCATGTCATGAATCATCTTTTATACGACACCCGTTCAAAACTCTCCGTGGCGACGTATTGAGTGTGAAACTTCAGCCCCTTTGTGGCAAAAGCCTGAGCGGTTTTGCAGATTACGTTCAATTTTATTTGAGAGCATGCATGGCGGACCTCACAGGAGACCAAACGGCCCGGTGGAATTATGTCGGTAATTATTTCTACAAGAACTGGTTTTTACGCAGAAGGGAAGACTCAATAAAGCATGTCGCACTTAATGAGGAGCAAAAAAAGGAAAAAGGGGAGGTAAAAGGAGTCAGCAGTTCAATGGCAAATTCGACCTTTTTCAGGATGGAAAACTGATGTGCAGCTACACACACACACACACACACACACACACAGTTAGACAGACATTATTTTATCAGGTGAAATGGCTACCTCTCCCTATAAAGAATGATCCTGACTCCCCTTCCTGCTGCCAATCACACCGTGTAGGACTGTTGTCTGCTCCACTTGTCCTTCCACTGGCTTCCCACTCGCATAAAAAACTCATAGACACTGAAACATTCCTTTTTCTGTTGATTGATCGCCTTTTCTGTCCCTCACCTATGCCTCAACCATGAAATTTGGGCCCCAAACGCTTGCAAGCTTTAGTGGGTTGTCATCCAAAAGCTCCATCATGAGTTGAATCACTCGTAACACACAGGTGGGAAAGGATATTTTTCACTGTCCGTGACTCCTCGTCTAAAATCCGCTTTCACTATGGTTGAAATCAGGAAAAGCAAAAAGTACACAGGCTAAATGAACATTTTATTTTCCCCCTAATCCCATCAGCTCTAAAGCAGAGGTGGTGTGATGCGCACCATCAGTCTGGGCTTTAACCACAGCTTTTTCTTAGGCTGTTTAAGATTATGACTACAAATGTTACACGGTGAGAAAAATAAATAAAACCTCAGTGGAGATTTAACTCTATCCGGGCACAGACAGGTCAGGAAATAATCCTCACAACAGAGTAAAAGAAAAGAGGAGACTACACCTAAACGTGAATCCTTCATTCAGAAGCTACAAACCAGCTATTAATGCTTATTTGTAAAATTTACTTTTAGTCGCAATCCCTTAAAGGGTACTGAAATCAGTGCCCAAATTAAGAAACATGATCTAAATAAAAGAGTCCTCTTCCAATCTGTAAACCCTGTTAGAATGACATTGTCTCACTAGGTGCATCTGAATTTTAAAAACATAGGACCATTAAATCTAATATTCAAAGTAAACAAGTGGAAAGATGATTGGTTGGTTTCTGCATATATGATTATTAAATGTATTAAATGTGTACATTTTTTTTAAATCCCTTTTGAATATCATCCATTCAGCTTCTGTTTTCAGACTGAGTCACATTGAGTCCGCTTATGTTTAATAGCTGAATGCATGGCCTTTGGTTTAGTTTTGATTTTAAACACCAGCCTTGTAATTAAATTGAAAACTAGTAAAAACAATTAAGACGTAAAATACTTATCTGAGTGCATATTATTGCTCTAACGTGTAATATTTTGGGGTGTATTTTCACCAAACCATACAACAATTATTTTGGCTCACTCTAATCATTTTATTGACTTATCTTTTGAAGCACTGACTTTTATTTCTAATGTTATTTTGTAATATGCCAAAACAAGTAAATTGGGACGAATTATTAGTATTGACTATAATCAGTTTTATATTTGTCTTTTTAGTTAGAAAAACAACGTGTTTTTCTTGACCTAAATTGCTCTGTAACACTTTTAAATATATTTCTAAAGACTCCTGTATGGAACATTTGGGCTGAATGGGCATAAATAACTCACGTGGGAGACCGCGGTGCAGGTTTTCTCGCGGGAGTGAGGCGCGTGCGTCTGTGTGTGTGTGGCCCTGCGTAACAGGGCAATTAGAGGCATGTATATTTTCAGAGCTTTAGCGATCCAAACGACGCGCACAGAGCTACACCTGACAGACATTGAGGGGCTAATCGGCCCTCTAAACGCTCTCTGTGAGGGATTCCATCAGCAGCAGCCCGGGTCAAATCCTTCTCCCCGCGGTTTCTGGGGAACCTTTTCCCTCATACCGGAGCTCTAACACCGCGTTTGGCCTTGAAGCGCATACGTGTTGCATTTTCCTTTTAAGCGTATTCTGTTTTAAATCGGTTACTTCCAAATATGTCTCAATTGCTTAATAAAATATCCACCAGCATTCCGAGTCATTAAAGAAAATAAATCTCAAAAGTTGACTTCTACTCTTTAGAGGAGACTCAATTCTGGGTAAGTGCGCATTGGAGGCCCAAACAGATTTCATAATAATCACTGTCTGGTCTCTAATCTTTCAATAATTCCGCTATGTTTCAAATATAATTGACAGTTGATTATTTTGGCACAAAAAGCTCAAATGCAATTACCAAAAAAATAATAAAAAACAATATTTCAAACACATTTGCTCAAAATTTACAGCAAAGTTTAAATACTGAACTTTATTTCTTTTCCAGAAACAGATATAGGAAACTCGTCATTTAAATATCTAATATCTAAAAGACCATAGTTCACTGTCAGAAAAATAAAAGCGCCAGTTGACAGATTTGAGTTTTTCTTCTCTTTTTTTTTTTTTGCCATTTCGGTGTAAAGGGACGGAGGAATAACCTAACTAAAAAAATCTGGTAAAAAAAAAAAAAAAAGCCATTTTCCAACAGGGGGAGAAAAAACTGTTAAATTCCTCTTAAAACGTCTCTGTTACCTGAGAGAAAAAACATCAGTTTTTAAAGTCTGGTTTTTAAGGGGGGATTATTCGTTATTGATGTTGATGTGTTTGGCCAGCTCCGCGGTGCCGCGCTGAGTCTGCAGTTTCTGGTACTCTTGGTGCAAAGTGAGGAAGTGCGGAGCCGGGTGGAAGAGCGCGGGGGGGACGTAGGCCGCTCCGGGGGTCAGTGGAGGGGAGTAGCCGCTGCACGGGGCCGGGGGGAAGGCGTCCAGGCCCGGCCGCGACTGGAGGAAGGCCTTGGAGAAGAAGCTGGACAGGGCCGGGAGGATGCTGCTGACAGGTGGGATGGCGGCCGGGGCGCACGGGGAGTGCGCGTGCGGGTGCAGGTAAGGGTAGATCTCCAGGCCGGGCAGCTGCAGGGCCGCCGCCCCGATCCCGTACCCCCCACCGTGCGCGAATCCGTGCATCCCGCTGGGCTCCAGGTGCTGCTCCTTGAGCGGGTCGAAGCGGAAGTGCTGGCGCTTGAAGCGCTTCCTGCGCCTCAGGAAGCTCCCGTTCTCGAACATGTCGGACGAGTTGGGGTCCAGCGTCCAGTAGTTGCCCTTCCCGGGGTTGCCGGGCTCCCGGGGCATCTTCACGAAGCAGTCGTTGAGCGACAGGTTGTGCCGGATCGAGTTCTGCCACGCCGGGAACTTCTCCCGGTAGTAGGCGAAGCGCTGGCTGATGAAGTCGCAGATCTCGCTGAGCGTCAGACGCTTTTTGGGGCTCTGCAGGATGGCCATGGTTATCAGAGCGATGTAGGAGTACGGGGGCTTGACGGACGCGGGGCTTTTGGTTTTCCCCGGAGGTGGGCTGCAGGCGTCCCGGTCCTCGCTCCTCGCGCTGGAAGCCTCCGCGGGGAGCTCCTGCTCGCTGTCTTTGACTCCTTCCCCCACCACGTCGATGACGATATCCTCCATGGCGGCGTCTCCCGAGCCCAATGTCATAGTCTAGACGTCCCAGGGTTAAGCCAGGACCACCTGGAGACAGGTGGGCGACAGCTTTTTGTCTCAAGAGCGATGAGCGGAACTTTTTACGCGCGGCCCATTTCCGTTCGCGGGAAAAAAGTTGCAAACCCCGGCCCGGTCCAGACCCTGGTTCCCCCCAGAAACGATCTCACGCCGCGGACCGGGAAGTGTCGGCGCACACGCGCGCGGTTTCGGCGCAACGGCGACCCGCGAGCGACTGCGCGCGAGGCGTAAAAGTGCGTGCGTCCTCGAGGATGTCCAGCATCATCTGTTATCAGCTGCCGCGCTCCTGCGGGTCTGCTGGATGTGATGTCACGAGGAGGGAAAAGGCTTCCTGACCAATGAAAGTGACGCGGAGAGTGGCGAACTGCGAAAGTCCGGCGCGCGCTCCCACCGTGCCAAGTGAACGCGAACATCGGGAAAGCAAATTTTTTAATCAAGGTGGAACTATTAGTTCAGATGTGCGAGACCATGAACGTGATGGAGTTGGAGAGGCAGAAAAAATCTCTGGTCCTCATTTGGATGGACGCGTTGCGATCATTTTGGCATAATGTGGCGTTTTTGGGTTTATTTTCAAAAGACTACTTTAATTTCTTAACCTCTACGATATTCTATTTAAAGCTATTTGTTTAAAAAAGTTTTTAAAAGTGGGCAAATAAGCCAGATATCTGAAAATAGATTTTACAGGCCATGGTTTGAAAGGAAGACACAACCTCTGAATTTTGGCCAAATCAACCCAAAAAGAAAAATAAATTTAAATAAATGTCAACGTGTTTGAAGATTAAAGGGTACTAAGAAAATATATATATTTTTTTTAAAGAAAGCCACACACTTTATGGTGTCCTCGCCTGACTTTGAGGACGCCAGATCACCTTTCAAAAAATCAAAGCGCGAGAGGGGAAAATCCCCGAACACCTCTCTAACGCGAGGCCTGGATTTAAACCCTAATCCACCTCCAAGGCTCCCGCACCCTCACTTTATGCGCACACTCGCCCTCACAATTACACGTTCTCAGACGTATCCAACAGAGGATAAAAACGGGAATGGCTGACTTTGCGCTGGTGTGAAAATAATAATTTGCTGGGAGAAAAGGGGGGAAAAAAACGGGGGACCGTAGTGCGTCTTTACCCAAACTCCATCCGCCCTCAGCAACGCATCCCCCTATTTGGGAAAAACGAAGACAGAAGTTGCTTTTGAGCAACAGGGCGCGCGATAAACCGAATCTTTGACACCCTAAACTCTCAAGTCAGTACAAGCGTATCGTGTTCCGCCATAACCCCCATCCGGATTATCTTCCTAAATAAGTGGCCGGGATGCTGATATCTGGATGAAAGTAAAAAGATTTTCACTTGCTCAGACATAAAAGGGACGGCAGGAGTTCTCGGTGTTGTTAGGAGGCCTCTGGGTTGTTTGTCTTTAATGATGGAGCCCCTTTTGTTGGGGATTCCCGTATTTCCTGCCTCTAATCGTACAGATAGCCCGAAGCATAGGGAAGGTTTTGGGACCGGGCTGGGTGGGCTGCACGGTACCAGAAAAAGCTGCAGATGATTTCCCTAAATTCATCACGCATGTCTTTAGATTGGAAACAGCCCCCCCCTCCCCACCCCCACCCCCCCTCGTGCGCGCCTTGTGAGGTTCCAACAAGGCGAGAGCAGGAGCGTCAAATCCCCATTAAATCTGAAGGTAGGGCCACTTTTTGGGGACCGATAGTGAACAGGACTCTCTTTCTAGATGCGCCAAAACTGTTCAGCGGGCATCCCCAGCTGGACCTGAGTGTTTCCCGATGTTACATTCACAAAAGCTGCCTCCAGTTCCTTTCTTTTCTTTCGCTTTTTTATTTCTAGTCATTTTAAAAGGACCACGCCGTCATAAAAAGCTACGCAACATTAAATCTGGAAGGTGGTCTATGGTTCTTTTCTTCCACTCGCTCCCCTTTTTTTTTTTACGATTCGGGCCGGAAATAGGAAACCGTTCAAGTCAACAAGGCCCTCATTTTATTCAGAAGACATTTTACGCACGTTTTAACAATAACAAATGTGCTATCTAACAATAACGGCCGTTGTAGGCGCTTTCTGTTTTTTTTTGTTTTTTTCTGCATAGCAGATGGGAGAGACAGCAGCAAACGGGGCCCTGATGCAGCCTAATAACATCATTTGGCAGAGAGTGAGCACGCCTGGGGGGATCTTTGGATCAGTTTGGATGAAGGGAAAAACCGCAGATCAGACGGAGCTGTTGCGGACCTTGAAGGTCTTAGCGTTATTTTATGGGTAATAATAGATGAGAAACAAAAGGGAAGCTCTTGTTTTTCTTCTTGTTTTTTTTGTTGAAAAGTTCCAACCTGCTTCAAAGAGTGGAACTTAATTGTTTTTGCCAAAATGAACCCCCCTCCTCTCATTTGGATTCTCTTTCAAAATCACGGCAAAAACGAACGAAAACATTAACGCAACGTGTAATTTAAGGTACGGTGAATTATAGCTGCACAAAACAAAGTCAGACGTAGGGCCGAGCCAAACCCACACCCGAAACACACTCACACACACACACACACGGAGACACGCACGCACGGTGTGGGCTGTATAAAGGAGGATGGGCTACATGTGTAAATTTCACGAGCGCAAGTGCTCATTAACGCGGTATTTATGGACTAGAACACAGAGAGTGAAGTGATGCAACCTGCTCTCTGCCTCTCGACGTGTCTCGCGCCAACTGGTGTGCCCATTCATTGTGGTGGCGCGTGGACCCACTCGCGAGGAGCTGAGCAACGCTCGTGCCGTCAGTCAGGGGAAAGCCGTGCGCCGGGTTTGTGGCGACATCTGGCGTTTGGAGAAACTTTCTAAATGATTAAACTTTCTAAAGCTACTTCAATTGGTCATTGGTAGAGGCTTCTTATTAATCTGTTTACGCACTTTTCTTATAACACGAATTACAAAGTTTCCCTTTTTTGACACTTGACCCTAAATGTAACTGAATGCGTCACAGCAGCAATAGTATTGACTTATGAGCTAAATGTATAGAAATCTGCAAAAAAATCATTTAAAAAATATTTTTTTTACCTGTTAGAGAAAGTGGCTGTTCAGCTTTTCTTTCAGAGAAGCAAGATGGATTATTTAACTGAGATTAAAAAAAAAGAAATGTCTGTAACAGCTGTTTTGTGTTTACATTTTTCAACACCATTTTGAATACTATGAGTTAATGCACTCAGTCTTTCTTAGTATGTGCAATTTGCCCATTTGATTCATATAGGGCTTCTATATTTTGAGTTTGCTTCTTTATTTCCCGGCCTCGGTGGAGGTTTAGGTGAAATAAACCCAGTTCTGCACAGCAATAAATGACAGGTAAACACAGTGAGAAATAAACAGCTAAAAATCGATTTGAAACACAACAGGCAGCACCAGTAGTGAAAGCAAATGCTGCCTGCATGCCTCCCTGTTGTTTTGACGGCTTGTTTCTGAGGCCGTAGCGCCTTAAATCTGGAAGCTGCAGGGTCCAGCAAAACAGCTCGGCCTTTATCGCATCACAAATCCATTAAAACAAACACCACATATGTTAAACAAGACCTAAAGAGGAAATAAAAATGTAAATGTAGGCTTTAGTTTATCGGGTGACTAGGAATAAAAACTATGAAGCACAAGCCTGTGACTATAAAAATGGGCAGATAAAGCATTAGCATGCTTCTTTACAACATTTCTATACCTTTTGATACACTAGATAGGATACGCTATGGTGAAAAACATATTGTGAAGCTATGTATTAAACTTGTAACTCATTTTTTAATATCCACAAACCCACTTATAATGATCAAGGTTTAATTAAACCTAGAATAGCTGCCATAACGACATTGACTGGATGATTGTTGGTGACTAACCATCTCATTATTTTCACAACATATTTCACTCTGTTAGTTTCCCAGCAATCAGCACATGTAACTGAATGAAGATACTTTTTTAAAGTCAGGTCTCCTAACGTTTGGCTCCTGTTGAGTTTTTCCCTCTTGAAAGATACTAAAACCTCCATAACTTTTCCAGTAGAGGGCGCTCTTACACTGTTTCTTTGCTCCTTTGGAGACTTTGGGAAGCAGGTGACAGTTGTCACACTGACTTATTGACGAATGTCCAGCTCCGGCCCTGGAGGGCCGCCGTCCTGCAGGTTTTACGGGTTTCCCCGCTTCAGAGCACCAGATTCTGATGACGTGGATCAGTTCAAAGGCCGCGCACGAGCCTGATAACGGCACGCTGACATGAACCAGGTGTTTTGAAGCAGGTAAACCTCTAACACCGGCAGGACTGAGGCCCTCCAGGGGCCTGTTCATTGATCTGGCTTCTCGCGTCCAGTGCCCTGCTTGGTGGATCGGCGAAATGAAGACATTGCTTTTTAAAGCACCACTCAAACTCACAGGGGGCTCTTCAGGGTGATTAGCAAGTTAGAAGATACGTTAAAAAATAAGTTGCAGATGGAGTGATTGTTCGGTTTCTCCTGGATCCAAACAAGGTCCCCAGAAGACGATGCAGAGGCCGATAAACCGGCACTAGATGACACGTCTTGTTGAGTTTTCTCCCTGTTTCTTGCATCCCGCACAGCTTCAGATAGGACGCTAATCTCACGCCGTCATCATCTGGACTGGCGTTGATTGCAAGGCATGAAACGGCTTGTCTGAAGGAGGCGCTTCACAATGGAGGGCAAAAACCTCCCTGCAAAATGGAACGAAACGTCTAGATTTCCCCGAGATGTCGGCGGATAGACGATAGCACATCTCTGCCGCGATATTCCAGGAGCCATAAATAAACACGCCCGAAACCGAGCTGCGGGCGCTAGGCCCTTTCATGCGGCTCTCTCCCAGAGTTTGGACGTGAGGAATCTCAGAGCGCGGTGGGAAGGGACCACCTGGTCTGGGCATCCCTTAGAAAAACACCAGTGTGCGACGGCTTTGCTTTGATTGAAATTTGCAACTGCCAATCTGAACACTGCGCCGGATTTTTCCAGACAGCTGCAAAGAAAGAGAAGAGGGGGAGGAAGGAACGCTTTCCAAAACGGCAACTGACGACTAAAAACAAGCTTTTAAAAACGCTCCCTTCACCAAATGCACCTTTATTTCTGGATGAGGGAATTCGATTTTCGTCAAAGGACACTTAAGGCCGACTATAAATTATATCTCAGACATCTGAAGAGAGTGGGTTAGTCATGTGCACTGACCCTAGAGAGAGGGGCCTGCACAACAACTGGTCTAGTCCCCCAGG